AGACTGGAAGTGTGAGGTCTTTAAAGACTGCCTGGTGGGAAGCACAAGGAGAAGCAATGTTGATATCCTGACCAAGGGCTTCCCACAGATATCTTATCCCAATTCTCCAAAAAGAAAGATGGGCCAGGTGGTTTCTTGATCTGATCCAGCACATTTCTTTTTGTGTTCTTAGCAAGACTTATTGCCAGGCAGTTGTGCCCCAGAGTGCAGCCTAAACTTCCTCCTAACAGTGCCATAGGTAAGAGCCTAATTGTTGCTGTTTATCCAGCTTATATTAAATAGGCTGCTATTCAGCTAGGTTTACTCAGAAAAGAGATTATCTGTGGATCAGATATGAAGGTCACAGGAAATGTTGCAAAGAGCCTATGAAGTTGCAGGGCTTGGCACATTCTATTTTTAAAAAGCATATTGTTAGCATTGTTCATTGCTAGGAATGTTAAATCCTAACCTGGTTCATTCTGATTTGCTAAATGGCAAGCTTTGAAAGGAAATATCACTGTGAAATGGTAAGATTCCCCCACCCCACAATCTCAGAGAGAATTTGGGTGTTTGTAAGACAGATTTTTGCTTGTGTCTGTTAAAGTTTAAATTACAATATATAAATAAAAAGGGAGAGATGAATGTCAAAAGTCTAATTGAATCTGGCTTGTTTCAGTTCTTACAAAGTTCATTACAGTTGTCTTCTGCTTCCCTTATTCTTATGTTCACTGGGCTGGAGGTGGGCAAACAATTCTGCAAGAAATAATTCAGATAGTGCTGTGTAACTTCCATCTAAATTATATTTGCATTTCTCCATTCATACGAATGTGGTTTTTTTCATGGAGGTCCTGAAATGTATGAATATGTATACATTCATGGACAAGAATAGGGTCAAATGAGCACAAGGTAGATCAGGCATCAATCTATGCACACTTATTTGGATATAGACCAAAGGACAGAGTACTGTAATGTACGTGCTTATTTAAAACTACAATATTTTTATGAGTGGACACATTTTAAAACAATGATAACTACTGCCTTTGTGTGTGGGCTAATAAACATTAGAAGCATTAGATGGATTGTTTGTACCTTTCCAAGCAGGCAATTTGTCCTTTTGTGCTCAGATTACAAAAAAATGTGATGGAAAAAACATGATTGTTGGCTCAATCTAATGTAGGAGCTTAAGAATCACCCACAGTCTCCCTTCCCAAGTCAATAAAGCTTGTCTGAACAGTAAATGGGACATTGACAGGGGGAAAAATCACATTCCTACTGATTTTGAAGAGTACTACGTAAGTAATATATGAGTACATTGCTTTTAATATGTTTAGAAAAAACACTGTAAAAACAGCAGTGGTCTAATTCACTTAAAAATAATTACCAAAGTGCCATTTTAGGACTAATGGACAAAAAGTTTCTAATTACAGCAGAATTTTTTTAAAAAAATGAAAAAGTTACTTCATTATTTTGCATCATTGCTCCCTGTTGTTGGCACCAAAAATAACATGCTGCAGATATTTTTGCTAATGGTAACGTCATACCTCAAACGTTTACATTTGTGTGCATCTCTGAACACACTAAGGATCATAGAAATATAGCAGCTATGGAAACATGTCATAGTAAGAGCACATGGTATGAAAAGTGATATGACAGGAGATTCTCTCATCTCCCAAAGTTTGCACATTAGCTTGCTATGTTTTGTGACTGGTCTTCAGGATTAGGCATGAGATTTCTTTGAAGTCTAATTTTTCAGGCACAAATGTTTGCCTGAAGCACATCTCTTTGACACTAATATGCTTTCAGCTTTAATGATGGGTTATCTATAATGCCTGCTTCTGCTCTGAGTTCTATCTCAGTTCAGTTATAGATTACTTGGGAAAAGTCCTGAACTCCCTGGAAATATACTTTTGGGGTGGGATTTCTTACTCTGTGTGACCAGTGCCACAATGCCAATTTAGCACTAAACTACATGGTACATTCCCCTTCACGGATTGCTGCCTTGTTGTAGCGAAGGGGCATGTGTAATTCAGAGAAGCTATAGGCTATGCAGTGCAGGGACACCCAAGATGGGCAGGTCATATTAGAGAGTTCTGACTAAACGCGATCCACCTGGAACAAGAAATGGCAAGCCACTCCAGTACACTCTTGTATTTGCCAAAAAAACTCCACGAACAGAAACGAAAGGCTAAAAGATATGACGATGGAAGAGGAGCCCCTCAGTTCGGAAGGGGTCAAACATGCTACTGAAGAAGAGTGGAGAACAAGTACAAGTAGCTCCGGAAAGGACGCTCAGCTGCAGACGTGCCTAGACACCTGCTTCTTGGGAGGAAAGCAATGACAAACCTAGACAGCATCTTAAAAAGCAGACACATCACCTTCCCAACAAAGGTCCGGATAGTCAAAGCTATGGTTTTTCCAGTAGTGGTGTACTGTATGGAAGTGGGAGCTGGACCATAAAGAAAGCTGACCACTGAAGAATTGATGCTTTTGAATTGTGATGCTGGAGGAGACTCTTGAGAGTCCCCTGGACTGCAAGGAGAAGAAATTCTGAAGGAAATCAACCCTGAATGCTTGCTGGAAGGACAGATCCTGAAGCTCAGGCTTCAATACTTTGGCCATCTCATGAGAACAGAAGACTCCCTGGAAAAGACGCTGATGCTGGGAAAGTGTGAAGGCAGTCTGTCTGTCTGTCTGTCTGTCTGTCTGTCTCTCTCTCTTTCTTTCTTTCTTTCTTTCTTTCTTCTCTCTGTCTTTCTTTCTTTCTTTCTTTCTATAAGTTTTGATGCTATTTAAGAAAGACTTGGAAAACAGATCATTTTTAGTTGAGACCATTTATTTGAATAAAATTGGAAAAAGAAGAAAAAATAGAACATTTCTATTCACTTTCTCTAAGACAGGAAAAGAATACATTAAAGCTTTTATTAATAAACTCACAGACCACTAATTGCATGTGTCTGTTAAAAAAAAACCTCATTTAACATGAAATTGTTTTCCATTCCTATATTCCCAGGCACAAGTGATTTCTTATTACCATAGATTAAGATGCATTCCAGCTACACTGAGTTTGTATCAGTTAGAAATAGCTGAGCTGACATATGAGTTTTTAGAAATGCTAGCTGAAGCATAAACATCATGTTCAATAAAATTACTAAACACACCCTAGAATTTATACACCTTAAGGCTTACCTTTTAAAAAATATAGACATATATGTGAACTTAGCTTGTTGTGTGTGCCCCCCTCGCCCCATCTCAATGCCCCCAACTTTAAAAATGCATTTCCCCTACTTTTTCTTTAAAAAGCTAAAATGTCCTATTTCTGCTAAGATTTCTACTAGGAGTAGCAGTTCACATTTTGGGGATCTTAAAGAAACTAAACACTTTAAACTCCTAAAGTGTCTGTGTGAACATTTTCTATTCTTATATTGCTGTTGTTGTTGTTTAGTCGTTTCCAACTCTTCGTGACCCCATGGACCAGAGCACGCCAGGCCCTCCTATCTTCCACTGCCTCCTGGAGTTATTAATGGCCAAACATGGCTATTTCTAGGCCTGCTAAGGTTGGAGGCAAATATTTGGCCTCCCACACCCCCTAAGATCACCCATTCTTGCTTCATAGCAGAGGTGAGAATGTTTTTACCTTCTCTGATGTTTTAGTTTTTCAAGACCCAGCCATGTTACTCTGTCATAACATGCTGGAAAAAGAAAAAGGAAAGAGAAAGTGTGTGTTTATGCTATGTCAACAAGTAATGACCAAGTGAAGGCCATGACCAGGTGAGGATATAGACAGTGTGTGAGCGTTGTGTGCCATCAAGTCAGAATCGACTCACAAGAAACTCAACAGAGCTTCCATAGTAAGTGAGATATTTAAGGAACTTTTTTATCATTTCCACACACACACATACACCCATTGAATTTCCCCTGGAACTGCAATATCAGGTATTACTGTCATCTCTGGTGCATTATGCTCAAAAGTCTCGAAAGATCTTAGCTTGGTCATTTTCTGACACTTTCTCTACTTGATGTTCCCATGGATTTTTGGATGCTGGCAGATTATATTTTTCACATAATGACCATTATATTCATTTTGCAACTCTATCATGTCTAGCTTTGTAGTCTGTCTGTGCAATCTTTAAACATTCACAGATGAGGAGTGACACATTTTGATCTTTTTCTTTGCGAAGTTGTCACTTGCTATTTGCACTAAATCCTTGAATTTTAGCTTTCATAACATTAATTGGAGTGCTTGTTTTTGTGCAGCTAAGATTAAGCCTCTGGTTTCTCTCTTGATGGACCCCAGTTTTAGCCATGCCCAAGTTAAGTCATTACTATGTTTTCCATCAACATTTTTCAGATATTGTCCATCAGTGGTTTATTTTCCCCACTATTAAATTTATCTTCAAATTGTTGTTTCTTTTATTCACATTTGTTTCTGTTATTTTCAAGATGTTTTCAGATTTTTACTACATCATCATCATCATTATTACTATTACTACTATCATCAGGCCACCTCACTTATGCGCTGTAACTTTAATCTAGGGACACAAATTTACACATATTTCACCCTTATTAAACTACAAATATATTCTCCTTACCCCATGAAAGGGTGAGATATTTTGCAGCATTTTTGACAAGAGGAGAGAGAGAGAGAGAGAGAGAGAGAACTCTTATCTCCCACAAATTGAGCTACAACAGTCTGGCTCAATAACAAGAATTTAGTGGTTGTTCTTTACATCCTTGTTTTATTATTTACCTAGAATACACTATGAAGAATAATGCTTATACCTTACAAGGAGAAGCAAGCAGGAGTTTTAGCATTTCTTGAGCACTGATGCTGGAATTTGCCCCAAACCCCAAATCAACTGGTAAAATCTTTGCTTAAAATTTTAAATCAAGTACCTAGTTTCGTTACTTGCATTAGGCAATGGATGCGAAGGACCTTAAAAGGCAGCGACAAATCAGACAATGAGATAAAGAGTTTCCATTTCCAAATTTCATTTTCAGATGTACCATATACTTGTACTCACCTTGACACACAAAAGATGATGGTGTTTCCCCTGGGTGGACACGAGCTGTAATAAATACAACTTTCTGCTCTGCTCCAGGACGAAGGTTTACTGTCACGGGAAAACACAGAAAGAGTTTTTAAAAGAACGTGAAATTGGGTCCTCCATGTAGAACATGATTTTATCCATTATTTAAAGCTGAGCATCGGTTAGGTATTAATGGAGGGTAAAGGTGGAAATCTTAATACCTTATACCCTGGCTCTTACTAGGGATGTTAGATATTCTGTATCCCCCAAACAAATCAAAACCTTAGGTGACTAAGCCCCTCTTTGATGCCAACTCCAATCCCTGTTATTCTTTTGAAATCAGGAATTGTGACAATTTACAAAGTAGTTTTCTTCACAGAATTCTAAATTCTAAAGGAAACCAGTAATATTGCTCATAATTATTTTGGGGGTTTATACTAGTCGAAATACCATTGTGTTTTTGTTTTAGTTACAGAAAAGCTGTGCAAGTGGTACTGAATGTGCAAAATTCTGAGAATCAGATGCGCTTTCTGAAAGACCCTGCCCTCTTATGCATCCTTTATCACAGGGTTGAGGTTTTCCGATGTGTGAAATTGTGTGACCTGTTGCACAATCAGTTGAGTGACATGTTGCACAATGGTGCAATCCAGCATAATTTCTTCTTAATTCCACACACAGACATTTACACTGCACTATTCCCTAATAGAATACTGGGCATTATGGCCAATCAGAAAACTGAAGATCATGAAAATACTAATCCATATATTTCCTTTTAAAAAAAAAAGCAATCAGCTAAGAGAACCTAGATGATTTGCCTATGTTCCATCCATCTCTACGGAATATCTACATCTGGCCAGCCTGCAATCTAACCATTTATTGTTCTTTGATGTGCTAACTTTACATGTCTCAGGTGTAAATTTAAGCTCCTTAGGCAGAGAAATCTTTGAACAGAACTGTTTCTGACAAAAGCACCAGCTGGTAGGGTCAAGCCTGTTGGTGGAAGAAAAATTAAAAGCAGTGAAAAGGAAGATAGTAGTATCAGCTAAAATCTAATGATCAGCTAGTCATTAGGATTAGCATGGAGTAATACAGAAATAAACATACAAAGAAAGAGAACCTTCTGTAGCTCCTGCAACTACAGTAAGTAGAGAATGAGAGGGAGAGTTGGTATCCCAAATCAATAATGAGGCAACCTATACCTGAGCCATAGTTTTCGTAACTGTGAGAAATTTACTTTCTTTTCCTTTCTGAATAATATAGTAGCATGCATTGATGCACACTTAAGGTGCAACTAGATGGCCAAATTATCGCTATCTGGATCAGTCTAGATCTTGCTAAATGGTGTTTTGAGGTGTGGCATGTCATTTGGGGCAATTATTGCATCCACATTCACAATGATGCAAGGATCAATCACACCACACCTCAAGTAACCCATGTAGCACGAACAAGGCTACTTTCCCTTTAAAGGAAAAACTTCCCATTTCTCAAAATGGTTCAACAGCTTAAGCAAAGGACGGAAGCAGAATCCACCTAACAATCTTGAGAAATGTGAAGTTTTACCTTTAAATCTTCCCTGCTGCTTGCCTTTGGAAGGGAAGGAAGGAGAGGTTTTGTAGTTCTTTTTAATTGTTGCAAACCAACACAGTGAATCAATAATGGATTGACATAGATTTAAAAAGCCCTTTCACAGTAATGCTGATGCATTAGTGACAATAAAAGAGAATTGGAAAACTTCCTCTCCCTTGCCTCCACAGGCAAGCAGCAAGGAAGCTTCCCATTTCTCAAGATTGTTAAGTGTCTTTAACAAAGGAACAGCCAGCCAGCCAGCCACTTTGATTCAATCCCAGTGATCACACATGCTGGAACCAAATCAAAAGAGCGGTCCTACCTGCATCTAAAAAAGTCCCTGACAGGGATGCTCTGTGGATGGGCTGCTGCGTGACCACACACTGGGGCCTGACAGACTAAGACAAGAGCCTCCTGGAAGTTCTTAAAAAGCAGATGGAGTTGGGTGCCATCAGCACACTGGTGGTACCAGACCACAACATTCTGGACAGCCTTTTTCAAGTTTTTCATGTATAAGTGAAATAATATGGGGAATCATGGAACACTGAGACACCCCACAGGCATGTTGAACAGGCATCTCCCAGCACCAGCACCATTCACAAAGTGACATGACACAATGGAAAATCCCAGAAATTGACTGCTTTTTTCATCGGTTCACCACTTCTTGCACAAACACAAAGCAATTGTCAGGGTGGTTTTTCAACAAGTGTGAATGGTAGTGAGCAGAAGTGGGTATCCTGTAGACCAGCGGTCTCCAACTTTTCTAGCCCCGCAGACTGGCTGGGGAAGGCGGGGCACCCCCTGTGCTCATGCACATGCGCAAAGGAGGATGTGCACTCTTGCGCGAGTGCACACACACACTCGTGTGCATAACTCCCTCCTCTAGAATTTTACCAAGTTATAGAAAAAGCAGCAATTTCACGGGTTTTCAAGCTTTGTAAAGATTAATTAAGAAGCTTAATTTAAAGCCATGATTGATTCAATAACTCTAATTTTTTTAAAAAAAATAAAGTAGCAAAACGAGATTTCTTTTTAAGGTATGCAAGTTTTGCCTTGTCACTTTATTTGTTTTTCCCCCCAAAGGGCTGTAGCTGAAAGTCTCTTGTGTTTGTACGGGGTAAACACAGTGTTCCTTTTTAAAGCAAAATCACAGCTTGGAAACCCTTTGCCCAAACATACCCAAATTGGCACAGAGCAAGAGCAGATTTTCTGCTGCATCCATGCCAAATTTGGTGCTGATTCAAGGTCCAGTGCTTACATTGGAATTTTTTGTTTGGACTCCCACCCTTGTTAGCAATACCTGGTAGAATATGTTTTTTTAAGCTGCCATAATAATACTATGTTTTTACATGTACCATCACTGACATTATGTTATATAACTTTTGCAAATTGTTTTCCACACCTGAACCCCAGGATAAAACCAACTGGCTACACATGCAGCTAGCTTCTTTGATGCTAATAATTGTTGTAAAATGAGCTATTACAGAAATAATAATTTATGGGAGAAGATAAGACTTTATGGTAGAATAATCTGCCTTGTAAAATATATCTGTCAAAAAAACATGTCATCACTGAAATTGCTCTGTTTAAAAAGTGATCCTTTGTCCTGGGGCTTCAGGACTGACATCTCAGAGTGGGAGATCTGATATTGGAATCCCCTCCTGGCCCCTCAAAACCATCACAGATGTTTCTGCTGTGGCTACCTCTGTAAAGTGAGAAGAGTATAGTGGTCCCTCAACTTGCGAACACCCCTACTTATGACCAATTCTACTTATGAACAGCTCTGGCCACAAAATTTTGCTTCGACTTGCAGCCGGAGCTTCGACTTGCGAACAGGAAAGGCAGGGGGGAAAGGGCTAGGGGGTTATGTTTCTGTGGTGTGTTGTTTGTTTTTTTGGGGGGGTTGCAGTCCCAGCATTGGACTTGCTCTGTTTATTTTTATTTTATTTTTTGAGCGAGTTTTTTTGGGGAGAGGCAGAATGGATTAATCGCGTTCCCATGCATTCCTATGGGAATGCATGCTTCGACTTATGACCATCTGCCGTTCCATCTGCTGGAATGGATTATGGTCGTAAATTGAGGCACCACTGTACTCTGTAAGGCTAAACTATCCCCCTATTAGACTAGATTAATTCCTACTCATTATTGAAACAATTTGCTTGCTTGCTTGTCAAAGGCAGAAAAGCAAGAGAGGCATGAGACTTTGGCTCTAAGATTCTGGGAATTGTAGCCCAAACCATCCAAATATTTCATGCCTTTTTAAAGGCAGCATGTACTCCCATATAATTTCTGTCCTGTCGGAGTTAATAAAAAAACTAATGGAATATTCCATTTTCAAGTTCCTGCCACTTAGGATTGATCTGCCATAAACCCTTGTCTGCATAAGATATAAGCAATTTGATTTCTTGATATTTCTTTTAATGCCCTTATTCTTTGCTTATCATAGTTTGCTGCTTAGTTTTCTTTCCTTATGTTTCCCCTCATAGGTTGAAAATGTATTTTCCCCATAACAATGTTGTAAGCTATTACACAAGGAGAAATGAGGCATAATTAACCAGGTAATCTTATGCTCCTGCCACAGTTGCAGTCACCTTACACTAGGCAATGTTAGTATAATCCTGTCAAGACTGAACAAAAACAAGTGCAACTGTCAACATATCAGCCTATATGCCAGTAAAGTGTTCTTCCTTACATATCTTCCCTATGTTAGCAAGGCAGGAGAGATCAAGCTGAAGCATGAAGAAAGGTACAATGTGCCTTCTGCTTCCCTGTCATAAAGCAGCACACTCTACCAACACACACACATCATACACACATAAATAAATCACTGTGTCTCCTTCCTTTCTGACCAGTGATTGGAGGTCATCTGGCTAGTCTGACCTCTAATGCAGCAGCTCCAACCAACTCTGTTGTGTTGAATCTACCCTCTTGATCTGGAATCTTGCTCCAAGATCTTACTATGTAGGCAGTAAGAGTCCAGAAACAGACAGGTTCTAGGAATCTCCGCTTATTATCATTTAAATCATCCTTTCTTCTCCCTTGCTGATCTCTTTTATTTGATTTTTAAATTGTCCTTGTGAGACAGGGGTCTCATCCCTATCAGGAGTGCCATCCCTCCTCCATACAGCAGAGAAGGAGGTACAAATTCTGCCTGCCTCACCCCCTAAGGGAACAGAGCAGTGAGGGATAGAAACAAAGGAAATAGAAGGAAGAATACAAAAGTTAACCCTTGAAGGGACTCAGGGAAAAACCGGCAGGGTGGAGATAGAGGCGGGGACAGCAGATATAAAGAGGGGAGAGGAACTGTTGCCGCTAGGTGGGGAGAGGGTCTGGATGGAGGATCCCTGGACTGGAGCATGGGAGAGGCTGAGAGTGCCTAAGGAGAAGGCAGACTATAGGAAAAGAAGGGAAATCCCCCCAGCCAAGACCATCTTCTTGGGGAGAGGCAGAAGCTAAAGAGTGGGGGAGAAAGCTGAGAGAAGAAAAGGAGAGAGCGTAGAGAGAAAGAAGGGAGAGGC